CCGGGGCTCTGCCCCGGGCGTCCAGATTCAGCCACTGTTGAAACTGATCAGCGGCTGATTCCAGGAAGCCCGGGGCAGAGCAGCTCTGCCTTGGGCTTCCTGTAGTCAGCCGCTGGTCAGTTTCAACAGCGGCTGTATCTGGACGCCAGTTCCGACTTACATAAAAATTCAACCTAAGAACAAACCTACAGTCCCTATCTTGTACGTAACGCAGGGACTGCCTGTACTTCCTTTGAAATTAGTATGTACTTTTGAGTATATATTGAAGTTGTTTGACCATCATTATAACTCCACTCCTACAAGAGTACATTACATTTCTAATCACTAACCTTCGAGGATGACTGGCATCAAACAATGTTGTATCATCATCGTCATCATCTTGTTCTAATGGTGTCAACTCCATATTTTCTATATTGGTGTCCAAAACTCCGTATCTTCGGGTCTTCCTGTTTCTTTTTCTGAGTCTGAAATACAAAGTTTTTAAAAGTTTATATCCTTAAATTGCTAGAACAGAAAACTGAAATTACTGTTAGTCTTAGTTCTTAAATTATAGGATTTGTATTGATATTCTTCATATTTGCATGCTATTTAATATATGGCAATAATTTTAAACATTTTCTTTATCTCAATGGTATAAAAGTAAAATATCAAAGAGCAACATTCCTGAGAGTCAAGTTCTCAAAGGGAGACCTAAAACTGTACAAAAACATGCATAAAAAAAATTATGCACCTAAATTTTTGTAGATTACAGTAACAGTGGATCAGATAGGTAGTCACCTACCCAAATGTTCCATATTCAGAAATAGGGTCCTACCTCTGAACATTAACGTCTGCTACTTTGCTATTTGCTCTTTTTGTTTGTCTGTCATACTCAGCTCTACACCCATTTTAAAAGGAGGATTTTCTGTATTTACAACTAGCAAGCACAACGGCTAGTGAAGAACACATTGTGAGGTTATCTATCTATCTATCTAGAGTGTGTCCATCTGAGTCCATCTGTCTGAGCATCTGTTAGTCTATCTAAGAACTCCTCCTAAACCATAAGAGCTAGACCTACCAAATCTGGTCTGCAGCTTCCTCTTATCATAACTTAAACCAAGGTCAGAGTTTGGTTGTGCCTAAAAAACAGGAAGTGCTGGGAATGGAACTATTTTCCATAACTTGGAAAGGAAGGGGGCAGAGAGTGGAGAAACATGAAGGGAGGGGCACGGAGAGGAGGGACAGGATACTGAGAGTGGCCACGGGGGAGCAGCTGCGGCACCAAGAGCGTGACCCACAGGGCTGGGGCTCTGCCATCTTGCCTGCCAGCACATCAGTAAGGAGCTTCACTGCCCAAACCCTGGAACTTACCCCACTCCAGCTGTGGAAAGCCTACAGGTCATGGAACAGTCACTAGACTTGGGATAGCCCACATAGCCTTGCCACATCCTCAGATAGCCTGCAGGCCATGGGTAGGTCCTAAAGGCTTGGGGCAGCATATGGAGCTTGGCCAGCCCCCTGGGTGCCCCCAAAACAGGCTGCAGGATGGAAGAAGCTGCTGGAGGCTGGGGGTAGCCTCTGCAGCCCCATTCCCCTGATCAGCTGCAAGGCAGGGGGACAGCTGAAGTCTGGGGCCAGCCCACAGAATACTGATGCCACAACAGGCTGCAGGACGGGGGAGGGGGGGGAGGGAAAATCACTGCCCCAGTCAAGACCTTCCCCCAGAGCAGCTTCAGGACAGAGGGGCAGCAGCAATCAGGGGGCTGCCCCACCACTCTGACAGGCTGCAGTGCGGAGGAGCTGGAGGCTGGGACTGACTTGCAGAGCCTCAACCCCCAACTGACAAGCACAGAGGAAGGAGCACACTTGGAAGGAGCTGCTGAGGAGCAGTGCCATGAGTCCTTGAGAGGAACTGCTGCCAGAGTGGCACTCTACTACAGGGGGGCCTGGTACAGCCACACCTCCCAGCCGTCTGTCCTGAGCCTCCTTCCAGAGTCCTGCACCTCCCGTCTGCCTTGACTTCTGCACCCCCCCACCTCCATCCCTATGCCCTGAGGCCCCCACGCCCTGCCTTGAGCCCCCTGCACATATCTGCCAATCCTCTGCCCTAAGCACTACCCCGCCCTACCCCCGAACTCTCACTCCAGCCTTCATTTTCCTTAATTTAAAAAAAGTACAATCATTTAAATAAAAGCATGTCCATTTTTCATTTATGTTTTGAAAAAATACTTCAGTTGAAGACCCAAGCAATGCTGGGTACACGTGCTAGTTTAGAAATAAAGTCAAGAAATGGACATGACTTATGCCTGTCATTATCTAAAAATAGTTTGTGTTTTGATCCTCCTTTTGCACTACCTATTTAGGTTATGGTCCTGCAAAGATTTACATGTATGTTTAATTTTAACACATGAAGAGGCTCATTCTACTTCAGGAGATGACTCATCCAGTTATATGAATTTAGTCCCATGCACAAGTCTTTGCAGGGCCAGGAAAATTAACAATGAGCTGATACACATGGAGCATGATACACATGCTAAATTCATAAATAATGCTGCAATAGAATTGCATTTTTTGAAGAGTTTCTATTTTTAACTCCAATAATTATTTGGTTTTTTTTCCCACTATTGTTTGATAGTTTAGTCTTCGCTGATCACATGAAAGGTAACAATATGTAGCAAATACAGATAAAGAAAATTGTGCCTCTCAAATCCATTATTAGAATCTGTACTTTAGTGTCACCTGTATAAGCTCCAGGCACACATACAAGCTCTTCTTTATTCTGAAGGGCTTACAAATTAATCTCAACTTCTTTGAGAAGGTCAGAGAAACAATGGATAAAGGAGAAAGGGTTGATCCCATTTATGTGTAATTTTAAAATGACTAACAAAGTCCCACCTAAAAGTCTATTAGGGAAACTGATTATCAATGGATAGAGCCCTGCATGGATATAAAATTTACATTTGCAGATGCAAAGCAGATGTCTGCAGAGCTACGGGGCTCTACTAGGAACCTCAGTGGTGAAAGCAGCAGAATGTCGAACTGCTTGTAGGAGCGGGCACTCCATTTTGGCAGCTCCTCTGGTGTGGCTGTACAGTTCCCAGCCCTGCCCACTGGGGCAGTCACTAGGCTCACTTGCACCTGTCCCTGGCCATGCTAGCATGTGCAAGCTACTTGTACACTCCCAGATATGAGTAGAAGAGTACCCAATATCAGTAAGAAATGATTAAAATCATGGCAAAATTGACATAGAGGACAGGAAAATACCGAGACTTAAGTTTAGAGAGGAGCAAACAGCATATTACAATGAATGGCATACAGATGGTAAGTTGGGAGTTTCTATTTACCTTTTTCAAATACAAGTTAGCATCCAATTAAATATAAACAAATTTAATACTGAAGACTCTTTTTAAGAAGAGCTATACAGGCAGTCCCCGGGTTACGTACAAGATAGGGACTGTAGGTTTGTTCTTAAGTTGAATTTGTATGTAAGTCGGAACTGGTACATATTGTAGGGGAAACTCTAGCCAAACATTTCTCCAGAGCTCAGTTTTATTCTCCCACACCTCACTTCCCTCAGGGTATGTCTACACTACCCTACGAGTTCGAACTAGGAAGGTAATGTAGGCATACCGCACTTGCAAATGAAGCCCGGGATTTGAATTTCCCAGGCTTCATTTACATAAGTGGGGAGCCG